CATATATATTAAATAATGGCTAAAGTTCCATAATTATACGAGGTATATTTATACAAAATGAAAGAAAACTATACATTAAACGTATATACAGATTCTATTTAACTAAAACTATGACTGTAAATGAAATACAGCATATATAAACACGGGCCCGGTATGCCTATTGTATTTTGAGGTTAAAGCAATGGTTCTCTGTGGTATAGTATTAGTCGGTTTGTATGGTCAGATTGATTTTATTAGTAGGCCTACATCTACCATCGATTAATTATTTTATGAATCGGATTCCGAGGAGACATTAGTATACCCGGATGTAACTGGTTGCTTGGTAACGTTTGCCGTATTACTTCTGATGTTTACGTTTCGCATAGATGGGTTGCTTCTATACCTACGGCCAAGACAACACCCGAATGCCTCAAGGAATCCTTGACGAAAACCCTTGTTCAAGAAACAATAGACAATTGGATTAGTGCACGACGATATGTAGGTTAGCAGACGGATGAAGATCACGTGGATAGGGTTAAGCATGGCCACCGCCGAAGCCTGATGGTGGACGAACCAGATGTTGATCACCCAAGACGGTGTCCAGCAGATGAAAAACAGCGCCACGATTACTATTAACATAATCACCACGCGCTTCTTAGCCTTGTTCGTCGATGTGTTACGTGGGGCGCACGTGGCCGTCGTATTCCAGTCCTTCGGCTTTGTTTCTTTCTGTTGCTCATTTAGGGGCGTTGGTTTAAACGTCGCCATTTTAGTTCCACAGTCCTCTTTTTCTGAAAGTTAAACACATTTCGAAATTGTAAGGTCAAGTTTCAACAGATTTATACATTGTACTAAGTACAATTAATGCGGTCTCCAGAGACATTCACAATGGTTATTACTTGACATTTAGACTTTCCATAATCATAAATGCAACTCGAAAATGTTGATTATGGAGCTTTCCATTGAGAATTTAGAAAAAAGGGAACAGAACGTAAAGACTGAGGCACCAATGATTAATACAATAGTCCTCGTTTTGGCCTGATAAATTCGGCTGACAACCGTTCCAGATTTAAGGAGAGAACATAATGCCGGGCACGCCGCACTCACTGCGTCGTACGAACGTCGGCCGACGTATCAACTCCGTTCCATGTGAGCGTTAGACGACGCGACATCGTCTGCTGATTGTCGGTGGCAGTCATTAAAATCTATCCGTTGCGCAGGCGTCATGGCGTTGCGTTCTCCATAAGGAATCGCGACGGCTGACGACCGTCGTGCGCAGTCAGTGCCCGGCTCAATGCACAACGTTCAGACCATGCGCAGTTAAATTAACATGACGTCATTACGTTCTACGTTTAAATCGAAAGCTCACTATTAGTTGAAATTGCTAATTTACCTTTTATAGTTGCCCTTTTTATCTGCTTCATGCCCTTCTCCAGCTCTAGGATGATTAATCCGTATGCTAGAACCATCACTAAAAATGGAATGACCATCAGTACGAATAACAGACTAGTCTGAGGAGATTAAAACATGTCTTTATCACATTTGTGTTGTAAAGTTATATAAAGTGCTGTCCACACTATCAAATTGTATGTTCCAAATTTGTGTGATGTGCTTAACGTATGGCCATGATGACGTCATATTACACCTAAATATGGGCATATCAAAGTTAATTTGCCACATAAAATGAGACGGTGTTGACACTATGTTTACACCAACACTATTTTTATGTCATATTTATTAGACAATGTTTAATCATACTTAATAAAATAGAGCATTGTCCGACTTCTAACAGTAAGGTATTTTAACTGCAAAAAATAAATATTTTTTTTAAATTCAAATTTCTGCCATATACATATAAAAATTAAGTGTAAGGTAAAGAGATGACGTAACGATTAACTAATAGCATTATTTATTAAGATTATTTTAATAAGAAATGTTAAATTAACTGTGGTCATTAAGCAGGAAGAAGAAATCAGAATAACCATATCGTACCAAACTCTAAGGGCCAAAGATCGCAAAGATCCCTATAGCATGCGCCCTCAATTTATGTAGTCCTTGTTGTTAATGCGCCACACCAAGGGTCATACAATGACATTGGGCTTATACTCGACTGGTTCATTTCGTTGAGTACGAATTTTCGTTGAGTATTATTTTCATTCGACTGGTTCGTTAAGTAGACTTCGTTGACAACAAAAATTAACGTAAACCAGAGTGCGTTAATCAGCGTTAAGTTATCCACGTAACCAAAAAAAAAAACAAAAAAAAAAACATGGCCGATTGGTGAGTTTATAAACAACATTTTCGTTAATATAACTTAGGGGCCTATATTATATTTCATAAAATAAAATTATTTACCCACATGGAGTCAAAAAATAATTGTAGGCTAACAGAATTCAAAAACTGGATGAAAATATTTTTTTTAACGAAAAACCCATACTATCACAAGTTGAAGCAATCTTGATTTCGCAACGTGTACCGCGGTAACTATACAGCCACTTTGTTTTTTTCGGGAGTATTAAAAAGTTTTCTATTCGACTGGTCGTCTTCGTTGAGTAGGATTTTACCGCTGCGCAAGTGGGCGTGGTTTAACGAAGAATGACCAGTCGAATACGGCCAATGATAATGACAATGGCAATGGTAGTAGACCTTTCCGCTGGCCCCGCTTGTTGGATATTGTTGCCTAGGTCCCACAAAACGACAGCGTAAAACGCAAACACATACGATTGTGGGACAGCACGTGTTTTTGTGCGCGCGTATTTCTGTTGCTGTTCTCATTGGTCAGTTGAGTTTGATTGACACACCAGAAAGGTCTATTGTAGTGGATGATAAAATTATAACTAATTACCAAATATGTCTTCATGAAATTCTGACTAGGCCATTCCTCTGAGCATCTTCTATATGGTCCGGACTCTTGAACTTGCGTAAACTTGGCAGTTGGGATAAATATGACAAAAGCAGCTATCCAGATACTGGGGATGATGACGTAAGCATGGCGTTTGGTTTGCCACGAACGCGACTTCAGTGGCATACAGATGGCGAAGTACCTCTCAACAGATATAGCTACCATGGTCCATGTTGATATGTTTACTGACACACCTTCGTGAAAAAAAAAGAAATAATAATTTTAACAGACTCAATGACTCGACAGTGAGACAATAGTAATATCAAAGAGTATAGAATTGCATGAGGTCCGACTAACCTGATTTTGTATGCACGCAATGGAACGTTAAAATAATTACTACCACGGGATAGGGGGCGCCCTTTTAGAATTCGAATAGAGTTCGCTCGAAACTCGTCTTTTAAGGACACACACCCCTTTGTGGTTGTACATTTTGAAATAGAATTACGTTCCAAAGAAACTAAAAGAGTTGGACCTCCTGAAGTTGTATACTCTTTAGTAATATTTTGCATAAATCTTTGTCCACACGATCAATACTTATGTGACAAAACTCTTGAAGCACATAGTCATTCCCTCTTTATGCCCTCTTTATTATTATGACGATTATAATCATAATAGTTATCATTTAGGCTATAATTATCATGAATATTTTCCATTATCAATATCTTTCTTAATTTTTATTTTATTTTTTTTTATAAAAGAAAATCACCAATAAATATTTTTCTTATTAGCATCGTTATCATTATAATTCTCTGAGGCTGTCATTATCATTTATTATTGTTTTCATTATGAATATTGTCATCATTAATTATTATCATCAGGTATGATAAATGGCAAGTTTTGAATGAGCACGCACGTGTTCTTATCCGATCCTGGAGATGTTATCGTGAATCGTGATTAACTGGGTTTGGTCTAGGCTGATGTGGCGAATGATAACATGTTGTTTAGTGATGATTTGTAGAGGAAGGCACATGCTTACCAGGCTCAACTGTTCAAGTGATGATAGAAAATAATTGATTAGAAGCAGGCCTACTGAAATGTTTATGTTCATAGGAAAGTACATGAGCCAGAACTATGGACCTTTCCGCTAAGCTCCGCCCCTTGGATATTGTTGCTTAGGTCCCACAAAGACAGCAGTGTTAAAACATACGCGAACACGCGAACACGTGCGTTTGTGGGACAACACGTGTGTTTGTAAGACGCGCGCGCATTCCAAGCGCTGTTCTGATTAGTCATTTGTTAAGTTTGATTGACACTCCGGAAAGGTCTATTATAATGTAGGCATACAGTTCCGCTAAGTCCCGCCCCTTAGTTATTATTGCTAAGTTTCTAAAAATGACAGTTATTAGAACGATCCAGATCAGTGGTGTATCTATAGTACGGGACGGGGAGGTTGAGGGATAGGGAAGACGCACTCCATCCCCCACCACCCTCAAAACTTTCTTCGCGTTGTCCCGTGTTGCCCTCCACAATAAATTTACGAAGAATTACGCTAAAGTAGTTAAAAATCACCTCATTTCACCCTCTTTAATAATGTCAACATTCTTAGATACGCCACTTGGGAGCTTTCGACGACGCAACCCTAGAACGGAATCATTCATGCGTGACCGTCCTACCGGGGGCGCGTGCTACGTTCATCTGCATACGTGATTTGGCCAAATTGCGTCCTAGAATCCACACGGCGAGGAAAATCTTAACGTTCTCGCATGCGCAAATGACTTTTAGTGACGTCATTACGTTCTACGTCCTACCGTCGTCGTGCAATCGAAAGTTCCCCTACTGTTCCAGATACGTGATCGGACGTAGGCCTAAGTGAAGCACATAGGCATTGACTGTTAATATCATAAACATCAACATTACGGAGTTATATAATTGTAACAACCGATGATAGTTTGATGAGGATTCACCAAATGTGGCATATTATAGTGGGTGGCTGTTTATTTGATGACATTATCTGCATTTAAATGGCGTCCTAACCGATGGGAGTTCTATCAGGACTGACTAGCCTCTCATTGAAAACATTTGCTGCATGTAAATTACTACAAAAACTGACGCCTGAACCGATGGGAGTTCTATCGAGACAGACTAGAATTACAGAGGTTGGCATAGCCGTGAGTGTTTGTTCATTTTGGTGACATTTGCATCTACCTGCTGACGTCCTAGACGATGGGAGCTCGACCAAAATTTGCTGGTTCTACGTTCATATTATTTTTTTCCATTGCGGAGTTGTTTTCACCACTGTATAGGCACACTCTGATTTGAACAATTCGTCGCTCACATCACGAACTAACACAATCAAAGTAGATTGTGTTAGTTCGTGAAATCACAGTAGCGCGTCAAAACGAGCGCGTATTGGTTGTCAAGCAATTTTGTATTCTTTACCACACAAAAAGTCCGTTATTCTTTACCACACAAAAAGTCCTTAACGACAGCAGCGCGTATTTTGACGCGCTTTTTTGATTTCATTAACTAACACAATTGATTTTAATTGTGTTAGTTCGTGATGTGAGCGACGAATTTGTGCATTTACATATGATGAACAAGACCTAAATTGGACTTCTTGAGTGTGGAAGAAATTGATTGATGTCTGTCAGTGATTGTATGAATGGATAGATATAGGTATTATTAGTTCAGTTTAATAATTGTTTAGTGCACGTTAAATTATTTTTTTTTTAATATTGAAAAGATGGAGAACTTAAAGAACGGGAGTTATGCGAGAGTTTTTCCAAAACCGATAACGACTCTATCTTTTGTTATTTTGATGTATATTTCCAATCAAATTAACCTATTAATATTAAGTATTTTTGATGTATACTTTACCTTGGAAATAAAGAATGATTTTACATAATGAATACGGGAATATGAATGTGCGTAGTACATTTCCGACCAACGTGAACGGCATACAGAGAAGTGCAAGACATAGGTCACTGACTGATAGGCTGAAAAGGAAAACGTTGGTCACTGTCCGCATCCTCTTGTTTTGAACGATTGTAACCATCACTAAAATATTGCCCACGACCGCTAAGAGAAATGTTATACTGTAGAGAATTATGAGAAGTGTTGTGTTGACCGCCGGTATAGTGTTTTGCGTTGTACCACCTTTGGCAGCCACTGTTTGTTGCGTAACATACTCCGTAAGGGCGGTGCTGAACGGCGACAAGTCATCATTAAACATAGGCTCTGATGTCGTCAGGTTCTCACTCACTGTCGTGTACTGGGCTTGTTCATCCATATTGCCTTGAAAGAAAAATTATCAACATTGAGAGTTGGCCTACAAACTCAACAGGCTTAATTATCAAATAACAATGTGATCCTTTAATTCGAAAGATGCATAATTTAAAACTATATTTCAATGATTCGCTTAGATTACCTAACAGGTTTGATGGAGATATCAAATAAAACAAGTGGTGATTATAGTATTGCTAAACTGATATCAATATAAGACCGTCAAAGTGCCGTCAGGTAGTCATATCTGATCCAGCCGACAACAGTATAAACATTCAAGAGTTTGTGCAATCCTGAAGTCGTTATCAACAGCTTGAAGTGTGGTATTTGATTCCATTCAAAAACCGGCTTATGGAATATTAATTTAGATAAGCAATCCCGTTTTGGCTATGTCAAATGTCAATAATATACACTCACAAGGCGCAAATTATCGTTTTTAATTTTATATAACTTTATTACCTGTATTATCAGTTGTTGATACGATATTCGAAAACTGTGGCCAATTAAACTATATTTTTTATGTAATACAGACGATACATAGGCCTACTCGTATAATATTGTTTGCTCGTATGCCCTGACCGTTGACATTCATGCGCAATAAAACTATCGAGAACCCAACGCTACGACACGCGCGCAACGAATCGTTTTAATGAAGATTCGTTCCGACTGCCACCGACAATCAGCATATGGTGTCGCGTCTTCTTGCGTTCACAGGGAGCGGAGTTGGATTCGTCGTACGACGCAATGAGTGCTCGGCTTAAACTAAATTGAACCTAGTTATTTAGATTTATTATAGCTTATATATAGTTTCAGTTCATTAGAAATTTCCAAATAAGTTTAATTCTAAGAAATTGTGATTATAAAACTTCGTTTGTAAAACATGCTGTCAGCAGTTCTATCTTTAAATAAAAATATGTTAAATCTTTAAATTTATAAATTGTGATTGAGTATTGGCCACAGCTGAGGAGGAAAAGTATGTTTTAATAAATTTCATTGGACACTATCAATCAAGTCACAATGCCGATCGACAAAAAATCACGCGCAAGGCACTCCCTAATGATGGTTGAGCGCGGCGTGATAAATATGCCCCGAGCAACCGCCATGTTCCTCGTTCTCCTTGACAACTTTCAACATAGCACACTTGCAGCAGAATTCATCGTGACCTACTTGTCCTGAAACATTTTAAATCGCCTTCTTGTGAAAAAGTAGTTCGATATATGCTAATTGTAAGATTTTCTAGAATGATACTGACTGCTGCAATGGTATAGGCATATACCGTAAAACTCGAATTGAAGCCCAGTAGGCTTAATCTCGAGATGAAGCCCATCTCGAATTAAAGCCCCCCCCCCCTTTTTTTTTAGTTTGCAAAATTAACCTCGAAAAGAAGCCCAGGGCTTCTTTTCAAGATAGCATAGGCTTCTTTTGGAGATGAATTTCTAAAAAACAAAATAGATTAAAAATGAGCTTAGTTTATACAGTAGTTCAGGTGATTTAATTCCCGTTAGATACATTCCATGATACAGATTGATATCATATCATATCATATCATTTATTTCGTCTTCAGTTCAACTTACACAGTAACAGATAAACAAACAGACAAACAAAAAATCAGAAAAGAAACAATACTATAACACCAGACTGGATTGCTCAAAAGTGGCGTTAAGGCTACTGTCTGGGAGCTCTCCAAGTGCAGCTAGCAATAAAATAACATACACGATGATGTTACAGCGGTCTTATTTATTGTTTAATAGCAAATTCACAAAATTTACAGTATTCATTTTGAAAAGAAGCCCCGCCCCCTCTTTACTTCGCAAAAGTAGCTTCGAAAAAAGGCCAATCTCGAAAAGAAGCCCATCTCGAAATGTAGCCCTTAAAAAATTCGGAAAAAAAAAAAAAAGCCCACGGCTTCAATTCGAGGTTTTACGGTATTATTAACAGAAAAATATACTGTATAGAAAATTATTTACTTCAAATTAAACATTTTAAACAAAAATAATTACTAACCCAATTTCATTTAGGAATTCTCGGTATTGAGCTTGAAAAAGATAGATGGTATGGTGGAAAAATAGAATTAAGATTATGTAAATTATGTTAATGTAATGAAGTTGAAGATAAGTGTATCACTTTACTTCATTTTATGTATTCTCATAAGATGTGAGAAGAGTTATTACCAGTCTATTTTTACAATTATCCAACAGAAAATAAGTTTATACATTTAATAACAATTTTACTTTAATATAAAATATTAAAAATATATTTATCTTGCTTATAACAAAACAAATTATGTTAACTAATATTGCATTTTGTAAACATCTGTTTTTATACTCCTGACCCTTGGCCTATGTAGGGCCTATTCAAAATTAATGCCCTAAACATTGAGTCTAAGGGAAGAAAGAAAACATTAACATTATATGACCTGTATAT